ACACTATGCCTATCCTCAGCAAACCAACACTGCTGACAAGCACATTTGTCCCACTTTATCAAAGAGTGTGCCGATAGGAGGCTTCTCTGGCCCTCCCCCTATCAGGGAGAAGCCCCAGGACAGTTGAGAGTCATCCATCTCTGTTTGCCACATAGCTCACGGCAGTGGGTGGCATGTAGCTAGAGTGCCATGAAAAATGTGTTGGATGGAACTGACCTGAGGGGTGGTGAGGAGCTGGGCAATTGTAGTTTTGTAGAAGAAGACTGAGAAAGGCTTAAGGAATCTTGGTCATAGATTTGTGTTATAGTAGGACTTAGAGGAACTTCTGCTGGGAGAGGACTATAGGACCCTATTCCTTGGTCCCTTCTCTGTGTCAGAGAGGGTTGGCAAGCAGTTGGGAAGCCCCCCTCGCCCACCACCCTATCCCTCCTTATGCCTTATGTCTGAAGTGTAGCCACACCTGGTACATCTTTGATGATCCTCGTGTGATGGCTGGAAGCGAGTCTCTCTGGGTAGCTGGGGGACCCCTGGGTAAGAGGCAGAGCCTCACAGGCCAGGCAGGACTCTGTCCTGGCCTGTGCTAGTCCTCAGGAGTTTCCCTAATTCCCCTGCCCCCTTCTTTCCCAGGCTGACCTCAGTTCTTACAAATTTGCCCTTTCCTTCCCGCCTTGAAATCTGATAATGAAACTCATACCCAATATTTTTGCCTCCGAGAGAAGCAGAAGATAAACAGGAAGGCACGAAGGATTAAGGTATCTCTCCAAGGCAGGAGCTGGGACAGGCCGGGGGGTCGGATTGGGTGACACCTCTGGGTAGAGCAGAGGGATCCAGATGTGAGCCGCTTCGCCTGATGCATTTTTCCATTTGTGTAGAGAAAATAAAACAAAGAGAAAAGAAAACAAGCTGTAAAATACTTTGCAGAAGTCTGAGCGTGGGCAATTGTCACTTGAAGTCCCTGACAGCTCCGAGAAGCAGGAGGGAAGGAGGGGACGCCCTGCTTTTTGAAGTCGGGCCTCAGAGCTCTCTGTTGTGTGACCAGTTGTTTGGGATGAACCTTTTGTTGGTGTGAGGTGTATATAGAAGTGAGATTCCAGCTCTGGCTTCCCCTTAGAAGCTCAGGAAGGACTCAGAGTCCCCAGGAGGGGCTCAGAAATCCATTGATCCCCTCAGTGGACAGCTGGAGCCTCTTTTATAGGGGAGGACACAGGATGAAATCAGCCTCCAAAAAGAACCAAAAGATGCCATTCCAAGGCCTTGCTCAGTATAAAAGGCCAAAAGAAGTGAGATCCGGTGATGCTTCCAGATCCCTGGCCCTGGACAGGTGTACCAGGCCCTGAGATTTCTGTGCTTTGTAGGATAGATCTAGATTCTGGGCTGTGGTCCAGGCCTGCTTGTGACCTCCAGTGATCTGACACTTTGCTCTGGGGCTGTGGGTCAGCAGCCAGAAAACTGGGGCCTAGTCCTGGGCCCTCCATTCGCTGGCTCCATGGTTGGTCACTTCATGTCCTTGAACCGCACCCTGCCCCCCTTATCTAGCTGAGTTAGACCAAAGAAATGATGAATGTACTTTAAGTGTGACCATCCCCCGTGGGGAGGGCAGGGTACCAGCGTTCTTTCATTGCACCTGGTTGAACTAAGTTCTTGGGGACCCCAGCTGAGGGACACTTGGGAAAGTTCTTCAGGGTCCGGGGTGTCCTCTGATCTAATCTGGCCTCCAGCAGCTTCCACACTTCAGAGTGTAAGCTGTCTTAGCACTTCCCTCCAAAAGCCATCCTCCGTCTCCTCTTGTTAATTGAGTGACCAGTGAGGGAGGGATGGGGGGAGGCGGCTGACTCTAGGAAGAGCATTTAAAGGAATTGCATCTTAATATCAGAGAAAAAGTAAAGTGGCAATCTAAAAGCAAATCAGGAATGGAAATAACATATGAATAAGAAACGGGCCAAAATATTTGTATTGTAGAAATGTTTTTTAAATACAATAGTGAAAGAGCTCTAGACACTACGAAGAAAACCCCACCTTATTTGAAAACTGGGCAAATGGCATGAACAGGCAATGTGGGCGCACACTCAGGAAATATAAATAGACAGAGAAATGCCCAGCATCCCTTGTAATCAAAGACATGCAGATGAAAATCATGTGTGAGTTCCCCACCCCCCAGACAAATTGGCAAAGATTAAAGAAAAGAAGCATACTTATAACAAATGTGCATTGTCATTTTTCTCAAGGGTGTGGCGACACAAGAGCTGTCACATCCTGCTGTTGGGAGAGTGAGCCAGCATAGCCTTTCTTGACAGCAATTGGGCCATTTGGATCCAAAGTTAAAAACATGTAGAACCAAAATTTTGACTCACAGTTCTGCCTTGAGAAATGTGTTTCAAGGTGGTTCAAGGTGATTACCATTGTGTTCGAAGGTGGTTACCATGGTGCTATTTTTTTTTCTTTTTAATTTTTTTTTTTTTTTTTTTTTTGCAGTACTAAGGATTAAATCCAGGGCCTTCCACATGCTAAGCAAGCGCTCTACCACTGAATTGCAACCTGTGCCCTTTTTATTATATTTTTAGACAAGGCTTGCTAAGTGGCTAGGGGTGGCCTTGAATCTGCAATCCTCCTGCCTCAGCCTCCAGAGTCCCTAGGATTATAGACATGAGCCACCATGCCAGGCTCCCTGTGTTATTTATAATAGCGACAAATTGGAAACAGCTTAGCTGCCCAACCCTAGGAGACCCTGCTGTTAAATGCATCTACTTTAGATGGCAAGAAATTCACAACACAGTACCAGGTAACATTTAAAAGTTGTGAAGAATGGCCAGGCATCATGGGTCAAAGAGGGAGCCAGAGTAGCCAGATCCAAGCTGGAGTTATCCCAGAATTTGAAGCCCAAGGAGAGCAGGTATCAGGAGATCACAGCAGGGGCGGGGGCGGGGGGGTGAGGAGGGCTCTATGGGAGCCATGCTGGTGCCTGGACCAGGCTGAGGAGGGGCAGTGGAGATGGGCCTGGAAATGACCTTGAAGTCATGAGACACCTGGAACATGAGAAGGATGCATTCAGACAAAGAGGGGGTGTCCAATGAGGAAAGGAGCAGCACCTGCAGGCCAGGAGCAGGTGGGGAGTCCTCGCACATGTCTCACTCTGGAAACTGACCAAAGTTGAGCCCAACTGAAGCAGGAAGAGGGAGGGGGCTGGTGAGCAGAGCTGCAGCTGGACGGGAGGCAGGACTGGCTGATTCAGAACCCTTGAAGGCCATGATAAGTGATTTCAACTTGATCCTGATGGACATCCTCAGATTGGTGCTTAGGAATTCCTGCTCTGGTGACAGTCGTCCCTGGGTAGCCACAGAGAATCCCTGATGTGGAAACCAACATCCACAGATGCTCAAGTGCCTTAAATGAAGTCTCTACCTAGAACCTATACATATCTTCCTGTATACTTTAAATCATCCCTGGATGACTTATCATACCAAACAGCTGGCCTCGAACACATGATCCCCCTGCCTCGGCCTGCTGAGTTGCTGGGATCACAGTTTGTGCACCACCACTGCGCGGCTAGCTGGTCCCTCCCTTGTGCACATACACCTCTCGAGTCTCTTCGTGTGTAAATAGTCTCTTCTTTRTAAATAGTTGTTAGATTGTTTAGGGAATCATGAAATAATTATAAAAATAATGAAATAATAATTTCATTATTAAAAATAAACATGTAAAGTCGGTACACGTTCAGTACAGATGCTGTTTCCCCCCTTAATATTTCGGATCTATATCTTGTTGAATCCAGGGTTATAGGTCCTGCAGATCTAGAGGGATGATTGACTGACTGTACAGTGGTAAAAGTGGCCCAGAGCCCTCGGCTCAGACAACAGGGCGGTGGGAGGACAGTATGGAGAGGAGTGAATGAGGGAGGCGCTATTATATCCAAGTGGAGACCCCAGGCTTCAAGCTGGGAATATCCGTTTTTAAGTCAGGAGCACAGACGTGGTTAGGGGGGCAGAAGATGGTCTCAGAGGGAGTCAGGGCTGGCGGGGGAAGGGTGCCAAGTCCTGAGTCATGTATAAGGAGGAGGTAGAGGGAAGCAAGCCTGGCTGGGAGGAAGCCAGAGAGAACCAAGCCAAGGGTCCTCTGCAGGGGATCCCAAGCCCAGGGATGGTCAGGCCTCTACAAGATGGGAAGCCCTCTGGGTTGATGGTGGGAGGGAAGACGGGGCACTGGGCCCTGGGGTCCTCTAGGAAATGAGAACGTGGTGGCGTAGAAGCAGTGTATGAGTGTGCTCAGACTGTGGGGTTTAAACACATTTTTTCCTCCCAGTTCTGGAGGCCGGAAGTCCAAGGTCAAGGTTGGTTTCACCTAAGGCCTCTCCCCTTGGCTTGCAGGTGGCTGCCTACTCACATGTCCTTGCCTATTCTTTGAAAAAAATAATTTTTTTTYCCCCTGGTACTGGGGCTTGAACCCAGGGACACTCTCCTACTGAATTACATCCTTAGCCTTTTTATTTTGAGACAGGGTCTTGCTAAGTTACCCAGGCTGGCCTCGAACTCGTGATCCTCCTGCCTCAGCCTGCTGAGTTGCTTGGATTATAGTTTGTGCACCACCGTGCATCTCAGCCTGTCCTTCCTTTGTGCACATACACCTCTTGAGTCTCTCAAGAGAGAAATTCCCTCTTCTTATAGGAACACCTTGGAGTAGGGCCCCACCTAAGGGCCTCATTTTAATTCATTCACCTCTTTAAAGTCCCTGTCTTCAAACATAGTGAAACTCGGAGGTACTTGGGGTTAAGACTTCGACACAAGAATTTGGTGGGAGCCTCAGCCCTGGTACCCTGAGGTGTTCAATCATATTGACGGGTGCAAACAAAGAAAGCCGGGGAAGAGCTCCCGGGGCGAGACACTGCCTCCCGAGATCAGCAGTGGAGATGAAGGGGGGAGTTGGGAACAGAGTCTCTCTGGGTCCCCTTGATGTCTATCTCCGCAGCACCCTTGTTGGCTCACAGTCTCTGCCTGTCTTTCCTGCAGCCTGTAACTGCAACCTGCATGCCCGGCGTTGCCGCTTCAACATGGAGCTCTACAAGCTGTCTGGACGAAAGAGTGGGGGCGTCTGCCTGAACTGTCGTCACAACACCGCTGGCCGCCATTGCCACTACTGCAAAGAGGGCTACTACCGTGACATGGGCAAGCCCATCACCCACCGGAAGGCCTGCAAAGGTAGGCTGTGCTTGGAGGGGGGTGGGTGGGACAGAACTTGACCTCTTTCCTTTCTTTCTCCTTTGTGATTTTTTTTTCCTAGTTTCCATACAGAGGAGTGTAGACTGAGGTCATCACACACACACACACACACACACACACACACACACACACACACACACTCACAGAGCCCTCCCTGGTATTTGAAGGTGTATGCCAAAACAAAGGGGCGATGGAGACATGGCTCAAAGGAGAAGAAAGGAGAAGGTGTGATCCCCTAAGAGGGTGCAGGGCTGGCCCGCTGACGCCTCCCCCTCCTGAGCTTCTCCTCTGCACAGGTGTGCTGCATACCACAGGGACTCGAGTCATGTTCGCCAGGCTTACCTTCGGGACAAAGGACCCTCTTTTCCCAAACCCACGCAGACGCAGTTCTTTGGATGTGTGCGCATGGGCCCCCACCGCCTGTCACACACACACATAGACACGCACAGTTGCAGCGAGGTCGCAGTTTCAGGATCAGGGTCTCAGAAGGAACATTTAATCCATTTGCAAATAGCTTTACTTCTCAGGACAAAAAAAAAAGAGAGAGAGAGAGAGAGAGAGAGAGAGAGAGAGAGAGAGAGAGAGAGAGAGACCGGAGACTCTATTTTCGCTCACTGAAGCAAGCACTAACGTTTTAACTTTCTGCTGTTTGTTTTTCTCCCACCAACAAAAATGAGGCAATGGTCAGATGACTCAGAGAAGCTGATGAAATGCCAGGGAACTGAGTGATGTTGGAGGGTGAGAAGTACCCTCCCCCCATGCTAGCTTTTGGGAATTCCAGGAACCAGGGTTCTTTTGCTCCCAAAGATGGGGCCCAGGGCCAGGCAGGAGCATGGCTTTTCAGGAAGACGTTTACCTCCAAGAGCTCCAGCCAACAGCTCAGCAAACACGGGGTCCTGACATGGGGTGTGTAGACCCTGACAGAAGGTCCCCAAGCCATGGCAGACGTGAGTCCAGTGCAGAAACCCTTCTGGGTTTCAGCCTTTGAATGAAGTATCATCTTCGTCACAGGAAATCCACCAGATGTTGGGCACTTGTGTGCAGAACTGACTGCATAATTTGCAGGGCCCAGAGCAAAGTGAAAATACGGGGCCCCTTACTCAAAAATAATTAAGGCTTTCGCAACAGCGGCAGCAGAGAGCTTGACAAAGCATGCATCTTTCTGAGCATGAAGCCAGCGCTGTTTGTGCAGAACCCTCTTTTCAAAAACAGAAACCTCCCCAGGTTCCCAGTTTGTCTCCTCCAGGAGAGAGCCCTTTGATTCCAAATGCACATAGATGAGTAAGRGTAGCTTCCAAGATGAAGCATGCTGTCTCCAGATCTGTGGTCTTATGGGCCTCTGGTGATTGCCAGAAAAAAAATTGAGCAGAAAGATAGCTGGGCTGTTTCCATATCAAAAAAGACAAGGATTTCAGGTAAGCATCCTCCAGGAGACTTGGAAAAGGGAAGGTGGCCCAGGCAAAGGGACCCTAGAAAGGTCTGCGGTGTCAGGAAGGTCTGATCAGGGCAAGACCAGGGAGAGATGGCTGTGGGTTTTCTGAGTGCAGAGTTGGAAGGCATCCAGCTCCTTTGCCTGTGCCCAGTGTTTGTTGTCTCATTTTTACAGAAGAAATTGAGGCCAGGGGTCTTGTAAACAGCTGGCTGACACATAGATTTCTTGGAGATTCAGCCAAGAAGTTTTAACCCATAGCAGCCACTTAGGTGGGCAGCCCTGTGCCCAGGGAAAGGGGGCGCTGCTCCTATCCTGGCCTGCTGTTTTCTGCTGTTAGGACAAAAATGCCTGTTCTCTGGAGATGCAGGAAGGAAAGAGGCTTGGTCACCTCCACCTTTCCCTCGGTGGCCAAGGGTAGGGACAACGGCCATGACATTTCTTATCCTCTTACTGCTCAGAGTGAGGGATGCCAGGAAGCCACAGGGTTCAGGTTCATTCTCCAGGGTCTGCCTCTCTGGTGGAAGGACCACCAATGCTCAGCTTCCTTTGCTGGTTTCTAGGGAGGAACAGAGGCAGGCAGATGAGGGGCTGTCCCTGTTCCATGATTTAAAAAGGTAGGGCCAGCCTAGGTGGCTGTCTGCATTTTCAGTCCTGGACAGCAGCTGCCCTGGTCTTGATGGGAACTCTGGGAGAAGAATTCCTGGGAGAAGACAATTACATCCTGCTGAGAAAATGAGGCAGGGTTTCGGACTCTCCGAGTCTTGATTGGAGAAGAAACACAATGCTTCAAGGGGCCTGCCATCTGATTGGTGAGGAAAGACAATGCTTCAAGGAACCTGCCGCCTGATTGGTGAGGAAAGACAATGCTTCAAGGAACCTGCCGTCTGATTGGTGAGGAAAGACAATGCTTCAAGGAACCTGCCACCTGATTGGGGGAAGAAAGACAATGCTTCAAGGAACCTGCCGCCTGATTGGTGAGGAAAGACAATGCTTCAAGGAACCTGCCACCTGATTGGGGAAGAAAGACAATGCTTCAAGGAACCTGCCACCTGATTGGGGAAGAAAGACAATGCTTCAAGGAACCTGCCGCCTGATTGGTGAGGAAAGACAATGCTTCAGGTTCCTGCCTCTGGATTGGTGAGGAAAAGGATAGCCCAAAGGATCCTCCTTCTTGATTGGTGAGAAAAAAAAAAAAAATCTGCTGTCTGATTAAGGAGCAGAAATGTGACCAGAAATTTCCAACAACCTAATGAAGAAAGACAGCTCTTGAAAGTTCCACATCTGTCCCCTATTCTCTTCCTAATGTCATCCTTTTAGGGTATTTGGGAACTTTAAATCTTCAATTCCTCCAAGGGACATCTCCCATCACAAAGAGACTCAGAGATCTTGGCAGGAACCAGCTTTAGGAGAAGTTAAGATGCTTGGGGGCCTGTGTGTACCCCCGAGATTTTCACACAGGGTCTCTCAGTCAATATCTTCCCTTCTTCCATCACCACCACGGCCGCCTCCATGGGGGTCTTCTGCCTTGCTTTCTGAGGGCCACCTGATTGAAGAAATCATGGGAGGAAGCCCACTGACCTCCAGCATTTTGACAGTTTGCTGTCACAGGCATCCAAACCTTGTAGGTGTGTGTGACACTGGCCTCAGCCCCCGTTCTCCTGAGATTGACCTCAGGGAACCCTCAAGTGAARGCCACACTTCTTCACTTTGATTCAAATGAATTTCACAGGGGAATTGGGACAACTGGCTCTGGACTCCCAAGTTGGTTTGGGAATGGCCTTGGGGGCCCTCTTTATCCCTGACTTCTCTGGGCCCAAGAGGGGCCCAGGCAGGGGGCCGAGGCCACCCATCTACAGGGCTGGTGATTGGCTGACGCGGGACCTTGTTCACTGTAGAGCAGGGGTGGACCCCGACAAGAACAGCTTGGAGCCAGGACATTTGATTCCGCACGTTATTATGCAGTTCCCCCATTTGGGAAGTTTCATAGCAACAAATTTGTTGGGTTCTTTTCTCCCCTCCCCTCRTTGAGAAGCAGAGTGGGGCTGGCAGGGTTGGTGCGTACAAAGGGCCGTAATAAACATGCCCAGGGGACAGGCCTGTGCACTCTCCGGCTATTCAGTGCAATTTCACAGCACGGGCACGGCCTCATTATGGTGCGGGCCGTTGTCCTATACAAAGTCAGATGAGATAAATTTCTCCCCTTTTCTCCACCRAACGGTTTGTGAATGATACTCGTCCTGGAATCTTTCAAAAGATAGGAGGTTTTGTTTACCATTTGTCTCTCTTTATGGACTTGGGAGCGCTTTCTTTTTTTTTTTTAGAGTCCGCAAAGAAGACGTTTGCTCTTGGACCATTTCAGCAGCGCCTCCATTGATAAYGATATTAATTTATCATCTTCCCAAACCCTCTGTGATGGATAAAGACATTCCGAGAGTCTCCCGTGAACGGAATCGCGATGAGCATTAAGAAATTAACCACCGCAGCCAGCGTCTCCTTACAAAAGGCTCTCGTTCCATCTCACTGAGCAGCCTGTTGGGTCGCCCCTTGCCCTGCCTCCCCCTCCTCCAGTCTACAGCCAATGGGGCTGAATTGCAGGCTGCTGAGAAGGTGCCCGAGCCCAAAGAAGATGCATGCAGGGCATCATTAGGGCAAAAGCCTGGGACAGTCCCCACCATCTTTGCCAGGCATGCTTGGGGTGGAGAAGTGAGCCTCCGGCTCCCAGGGCAACCCCCTGTGTCTCCCTCATTCTGGATTCTTGACCTTCACTTCATGTGTGCCTCAGTTCTCACCCATGGTTGTACAGGGGAATCACCCGGGAGAGACATAAAAATACTGCAGCCTGGGTTCCGCCCCAGAGATTCTGCTTTAATTACTGGATCCAGATGAGGCTTGGGCATTGGGAATTGCCTCCTCGGGTGATTCTTATGTGTAGCCAAGGCTGAGACCCACAGAGGCGGAGAAATGGAGGAGAATAAGAAATGAGGATGGTGGTTTTGCTCTTGGCAGTGTGGATTCAAGGAAGGCTCACAGGTGGCTTAGACTCCCGAATTTTTTTATTTTGAGAGAATGTCCATATTTTTATGAGTCCCTTGATGAAAACTGGGTGGGGGGGCATTTAAATTTAAAATTAAACTTTTTTTTTT